TATATATACACACACACACACACACACACACACACACACATACATATATACATATAGTTTAGATAGATAGACATTATTGTACTGTATATATTATTTACTATATTATATTAAAAGGGAAGTACAGTAAGATAATAAGGAAGATTAACTGGAGAATAGTGTGGTTGATAAGGCATCCTCTCAATGAAATTAGACAACATAAACATTTCATCAGAATGGGACAAGTAATTAGTCTCCATTCTTGAAGCAGTCTTTCTGAAACTGAAACATTAAACTATATAGAAGCAGAAAAAAACATTCAGTTAGTTCAGTTTTGTATAAACTCATTCATTCCATTCTTATGGATTGCAACATTCTATCTAGGGACAAGGAATCATTTGGAAATTAAGGTGCACATATCAAACTGGGTATTGCATACAGCAATGTACTGCCATTAAGCAAGGTATTTTTATGATGTGATCCATGCATACAAAAGTAGGTTACTAGTCAGATGTGTTTAACTTAACTAAAATAAGAGAAACGAAGAGTACTGGGCTGCAGAAATCCAGGTGAAAGCTAGATGCAGCACAGATATAACAACTCTTCATTCCTTGCTGCCACCTATGGGTCATCTCCGTATCTACCACTAAGATCTGGTTGCCCTAGTGGAAAATGCCAGGCACATTGCTCACAAAAATACTTGAATGTGTTCAATATTTGGAATAAGTAGAAATACAGAACAACAATGTATCTCAAAAAATAAAATTTGGTTAAAATAAATTTACCTGATCAAGAAGATAAAGCCGGTTAACATATGCTTCTTCTGTATGCAGAAGTTCATTTGCAATATTAAACAGCTTTTGTGGCTCTGAATACTGTGACAATATGAAAAATATGAAAAATCGACTTTAAATACATATTCCAACTACAAGAGAAATCAAGATATTTTGTACTGTTTGTTTCCAATTGTTTAAGTATTCCCCTGTGAGAAAGTCTCTTATTTTCTGTTGCATTGATCAAGTATACAATTAGCTGGTATACAATTAGATAAAATAATCATGCATATGATTATTAAAGGAGCACATTTCACTGTTATTCCAAAATCAAATTAGTACAGCAAAAATTCCTATAACAAATAAAGTACCATGTAAGGTATTTATTATCTTTGATGTTAGCGAATTATATCAATTCTTCCAATGTGTTACTTATTTCAGTGTGGAATTTCCCTCCCTGAATCAAATGTAGTCCCACTGGCCTGACTGATTAACCAAAGGCAGTCAACATTTCATCACAAGAGGTTTAAGTAGTGCTCCTGATCTTGCTTTAAAGGGAGGGAGGAATCAACCCCATTTTCACTGAAGAAAACCAAGATCTCTCTATCCTCACACCACAGAAATGAGAGGTCATTTAAATCAGCAAGGTGTAAGTTAATACAGGTTTGTTCAGCATGTGGACACACAGGTATGTGGTGAACTGGCTACACTGGCTCTCTCAGACAGTGTTTCCCACCCTTCTGTCACAATTCTTGGAGAGTCTTTTCAGTTGCCGACAATTTCCACTCATTACCAAGAAAATTCCTCTTGGCACCTGTTCACATAAGGAAAGTGGGGAAAGTGGGGAAAGTGCTCTTGACTTCTCCAAATGGCAAAGTGATCTGGAATCATAACAGGCTACATTCCTTGTCAGGATGAGCCCGCTAATAACCAGAAGATTAGGTTGTTTTATTAAGTAGATTAGGCAATTAAGATAAGGGCTAATTGAGGATTGAGTGAAAAGGAAAAGGAAGCTCTCATGAATCTTGCAGGTTTAGTGACAACTCCAGGCATGAATATTTATCAAGAAACACTTGCACTTACACAGATAGAATGAAATAAGACTTAAGCATGCAAATAAACCGATTAGATCAGTCCATAATATAAATACTACAATTCCTCACTTGTATCTAACTCTGCATTTCTTTTGATGGCTATTTACTTCTGAATCCTGCAACCTTTCTCCAGGTTAGGATGTGCCTTTCATCTGGAGAGAGGTAGACTGGGAAGAGGTGTCCTCTGATGGAAGACAAAGGAACAAAGGCAAAATGGAGCTGCCCTTCTCCTCTTTGTAAAAGTTCACCTGAGAAAGGACAAGTTTCCCCGTTCCTAACTAGTTGCTTATAGTTTGAGTTTTACCTTGTTTCTGCAGTAGATCATTTTGATTAATTCTTTTCAAGTGTAAATTCTTAGAATGTTTTCCCTCCTTTTAGTACATATAAATGAAAAAATAATATAAACAACAAGTACAGTGATATATTATTGCAGGATTTTTTAAAAAAACAAACGCAAGCTTTTTCTTTGCTCTTCCCACCCTTGAAGTATCCTCTGATGTCTGGACCTTCCATTTAAACACTCGCATATGCACATACACATTATCACAGTAATAGGATGAAATGAAGTTGCAGAAATGTCTACAAGCACACAATCAAATTCAGAGAGCGCCAAGTACTCTACATTTACAGCTATACAATTGCAGGTTGGAGAACACTCCTGAAAACAAGTGAAAAAGAAATCAACACAGAGCTCTCACTTGAGGCACAAATTAAGAGGTTCAATGTCTACTTCAGACACATTATGTGAAAATCTAGCTCTTTGGAGAAGGCTCTAATGCTGGAAAAGCTGGAAGAAAAGAGAAGAGGCCTAATAGGAAAAAGGTAGGTAGACAGTAGTGATGGCTATAAGACCTGAACAACCAGTTTAGGGACAGATAAGTTTTGGAGAAAATCTAGAATACTGCATCCAGTTTTGGTCACCAGACTACAAAAAAGATGTTGAGACTCTAGAAAGAATACAGAGAAAAGCAACAGAGATAACTGGGTGACTGGCGGCTAAAATATACAAAGAACAGTTACAGAACTGGGCAAGGCTAGTCTCATGAAGAGAAGGGGAGACATGATAACAGTGTTCTAATATTTGTGTGATATAACAAAAACCAAAACGTAAATAAAGGTCCTTTGATGCCTTCACCTTGGCTTCACTGTTCAATTGTTCACAGTTGGAGATTAAACCATCTTCAAAGTAACATTCCAAATGAAAGAAATACAATTCAAACTCAAATAGCAGATAACGAAGCAAAAAACAAAAACAAACTGCACTGAAGAAAGTTCCATGACAGACCAGGATAATTACACACTTCAGGAAGATAACCAAGTACAGTCCACTGGAAGAACGCCAACCAAGATAAACCTCAAGAAAACACGCTTGTCTCCAGCATTTGCTAGCACGCAGGTCCAAACTCTTATGCAGATCTCACACCTGCAACCCATGAAGAGGATCATGGCCCTCTTCTCCTGAGTAGATGTTTTTCCCTGATCCTCTCTTCCCTGCGTGCCCTAGGATGGATAAGGGATGGGCCTGACTGCTCAGCTGGCCTCTGCCCTTCCCCAGCCTCCTCCACAACCTCTGGAGCCACACTTCCACTCCCTGTTGGCTGTTCCTCCTCTCCCTCAGAGTCAGTTTCCACCAGGGGCATGAAAATTTGAGGGGCAATCACAGAGAGGAAGGAGTCAACCTATTTCACAAAGCACCTGAAGGAATAACAAGGAATAATGGATGAAAACTGATCAAGGAGAGATTCAATCTACAAATAAGAAGAAATTTTCTGACTGTGAGAGCAATATACCAATGGAACCTTGTCTTCAGAAATGGTGGGAACTTCATCACTGGAAGCTTTTAAGAAGAGAATCCAACTATTGGATATAAAACTAGTAGTTAGGAAAACAGATATATTTGTGTGGGTTCTTCTCTGTCAATGCTTTAGGGTCAGGTGGATTCTAAGCAGAAAAAAATGAAGAAGTCCCAAAGGTGCTTTTTTCAAGAGGCAACTGGGCTTAGTTCTTCCTTGAAGACGTTTCGCTTCTTATACAAGAAGCTTCTTCAGTTCTGAGTGAAGAAGCTTCAGAACTGAAGAAACTTCTTGGATGAGAAGTGAAACCTCTTCAAGGAAGTTGCCTCTTGAAAAAGCACCTTTGGGACAATCATCACCTGGATAACTGAGAATCTTCATTGACAAGTAACAGAAACAAATTAGTTTTTTTTTAAATGGAGAAGAGTACTAGAAGAAAGAGTTAGATTTTTTTTCCTATTGCTACCATTGCAACACTAAAATCTTTTCTAGATAAGATTGTAAATAATGAGCTGGTATATAGCTGTGAGTAGTAGTAGTCAATGCTTCATGAATGGAACTGGTTATTTGAGGGCCTATCTCTCCCTGATTATGCCTAACTGTTCCATTAGACCCAGCAAAAAAGATATGCTCTGGGTCTCAACTATTAGAGAGTGGCAGCTCGGGGAATTCTGGGAGTTCACATATCTTAATGTTGCTGAGGTTGTGAACCTGCCTTAGAAATTAAATTGGTCCTGACTCTATTGGAGTTCCATGGGATCTTAAAGCCATGTTTTTTTTCTGGGGGCATTAAGATCAAGGTGTGTACCTAATTTTGTACAATGGCTGTATTGACCTGTGTTGGCTTTTGCCTCAGCTACAGGTTATATGTGTTTTGTTATCTTTTATTGTTTGGTATTTTTAATTATTGTTAGCTACCTATAGTCATGGATTTGAAATTGGTAGCCATATAAATTGAAATAAATAAAACCAGTCAACATTTTATGTGCATTGCCACATATATTTATAGTTAAATATAATAACACAACTCTGATGCTAAGGGCAGTATCGCCTTAAGAATAATTTAGATAATGCAATACAAGCTATTATTAAAAAGACATGACTGATGTAAACGCAAATTAAGGATTTTCCATCATAATTTTCTTTGTATTATACATTATTTCATCCATGCATTAGAGCTTCAAAGCAAGAACACACATTCTGAGCCTGTAATGTTGAGAATAGTTTCCATGTTTTGCCTTAATTACCACTATTATACTACCTTGGTTGCCATAACATCAAAATCAATGTTTATAGGCCTTCCGAGTCATATTCATAAGCTGATGAGTGTAAAGATGGTGTATATGAATACAGAAACACTTACCTCCTAAACTAATGCTAATGAATTACTTATACTATCTCTGACTGGAAATATGTCACGTCTTTAAGGATAAATTAATACCCATGCTAAAATGATAGTAAATGCAGCCATTTGTCTGGACTATTTTGTGAATATTGAAGTCAGGTACAATTTTCATCCATCTGACTTTGTTCTTTTTATTAGATATTTGGATTTCTAATGGTTATCAAGCTTACTTTGTAGCCAATTTCTGAATAAATTAGTTCTTAACCTTTAAGGGAGCTTTAAGACACCTAAAACACCAGTCAGAAAACAACCCAAACATCAAAAAGGAAGTTGGAACTATTTAGTGGCGGGGGGGAGGGAAATTGACCCACCATCATTTAGGTATGAAAGAAAGATTAGATAGCAGAGAAAATAAAAGACATCCAGCAAATAATTTGCTAAAGTCTTTTTTTCTTAAATTTTAAAATCTATTATTACTATCAGGACATACACAAGAATGCATTTTATTAACAGTCTGCTTATACGTATATTTCTTAAATGGACTGGTCAATAATACTTATATGTTTTATTTCTAAAAGTCACTTAGAATGTTCCAAAAATGCTGACTGGAATTAGTAAAGAATGAGAAGTGAAGCTAATAATGTGGTATTGGAACTATGCTTTGAATAAAAAAAGACAAACTCTACAAGTAGCCAAGTAGTAAGGAATACTGAGCTAAGTCCATACACTATGTATGACAGTATAATGCAACTTTATATATGCTAAAATGTGCTGAAAGTAAAAATCCCACACAGAAAGTAGTAGTGTAACAGCAATGCAGAAGTTAAAACAAATACCTTGTTAACATCTATACATTCCAGCTTGGAGATTTCTGCTATTTCCGGCTCTTCACTGCTTCCCTCGTCTATATCACTGTCTTCATCCTGAGCAGAGTCTCTCTTCTGTTCCCCAGCAGAAAACATGACAGTTTTTTTGTCATTGTCCATTTCAGCTAGATCCCCAGTTCCTGTTGTTTTTTTCTGTTCTGTAGCTTCCTCGTTTGGGAAATTCTCTCCTGCTACATTACAAGAAGGGCTGTCTATTCCACTATCCCTGTTAGGGATTTTGCCATTGCTATTCATCTCAACAGATGTGTCCTTATGGCTGTGCACTGCCACAGATGCTTTGCTGATGGGCACATTAGTAGAACCTTCATTGTTTGTGGTGTTTAGTTCTTTGATTTTGATTAAATCTGTATTAGACACTTCAGGACTACACAAGATGTTAGGCCCACTCTCATCCAGCTCTTTATTTTCATTTGTTGAAGTGCTGGAAGCTACCAAATCATAGACCATTGCGCCATGCTGTTTAGGAGAATCTGGTTCTTGTTCCATCTTAAAAGCTAAATTAATTTGATTTCGTTGACCAACATGTGTGGGTTGCCTGCAAAAATAAAGTTTCAAGATTATTGATGTGACAGATTTTAGGACCTCAATATGAACTCATAGACTGGGAAGAAGCAATAATTGAAGTAATCTTTAATCTATCACAGATTATGATACCAATTTTTTAAGTTTCCAGGGCCACCTCTAATTTTGGATTGTGGAAAGCGGTTTATTACTAAAGTATAACTAAACCATTTTCGGTGGTTTGGTTAAACCAATGCAATGACAGAATCTGAATTTTCTACCTCAGCACCAAAATATATTTTGTTGTCTTTCTAAGCCTCATTCTTCGCCTTGAATTAATATAACTAAAAAGCATTATACTTTTTTTAGAATATCTGAATGGATAATCATATACACTTGCCATGAATATTCATAAAAATATATTTAAACTCAGTTTTTAGTTTTTATAAGGAACAGATAAAAGCCACAAATTTGGCTTTTTATAATTTTAAGAACTATATTGAGGAAGTCAAGGCATTCGGTGGAATGTTAGACTGTGTATTTTTAGCTTCCAAAAACAAAACCCAGCATCTACAGATTATGATATCATGAAAAACCGCCACTTCCTAGGCATTTATAATATGAATATATTCATGACTTCTCAGCTTTCTGAAAAGTTTGTCAATTTTTAAGTAAGTGTTCTTTATAGGATAAAACACTCCTGACTACCCATATAGTTCAAGCAAACTGTATCAATACAAGATCAAACAGGAACAAACTTTTAGGATAAAGAAATATATTATCATAAACTCTTGGCTGGCCACTCATCAATACTACAATCCATTATATATTAAGAATCTTAAAAAGTGTTAAGACACTTTTACTTAGATGAAAACAAGTATTCCACATTTTGTTAAAAAGCCTCCATTGATTGTGAGATAGGTTTCAATCGCCTCACCAGGCTTAAAATGGCCCAGTTTAAGTAATTATTGTAATAACCATCACTGTTATAACAAAACCATTGCCATTTTCTGTATTTGAGACTGTATGCCTCAGCTATTCCACTTTCATTGTAGCTTTTTTTTTTTTACAAAAATCTTTAAATAAAGAGATTCCAAATTAACCAAACAGTCTTACCTTATCCTTTCAAATTTTTCAATAAGCCTGCTTATATCTGCTGAGGCATGTGTGGCTTCTCCTTTAGGCACTTGAGTTCTTGAAGACTTTGGATCTGCTGGTAAAGGCCTAGGTGGTACTGGAGGAATCTTCTCCTGTCCAGCAGGCTGAAGATGAACAGGTTTTGGAGGTACTAAAAATCCAAAACCAAAAGTTAAGTCTCTTTCATCTTTAAAGCTAATACAGAATAAAAGTCGAGTGCTCCGGGAAAGACTGTTCTTTTTCAACAGTTGAAGCCATGTAACATTAGATTACTTTCAAATATAAGCACACTGGTTTTAAGTGAAGTGGTACGAGTTCATGTTAAGCTAGTATCTTTTCAACTCTGACAGAACAAGTGTGACCACTTCCTGGTTGCTAAACAGGATACACAGTGTGCAAAGACATTGCAATTAGCAAAACTTCTAGCATACTTGTTAACGCAGGGCTGAACATTTGAAGAAGTGGTGACCCAACACTTTGATTACATTAAAGCCATGGAATCCTTCAAAGTTTTTTTTTAATCCTCCCATGCTTATTCTTCTGGAATCTCAAAATGCAAATTAAAAACAGCCCATCATTTCTCCTTTTCCCTTCCCCCAACTCTTTATAGTACAATATGCTAAATATCCTTCCTCTTTTGTCGCAGTCTTGAACACATTATTGTGACAAAAGCACTGCTGCTTGTTCGTGAGGGGGAGAAGAGAACAATGAAGCACACATGCACTTCAGTCCCACTGTGTGGGTCTTTTTTTTTTCTTTCCAAAACACAGCAAATCATGTGAAATTCTCACCCTCCTTGCAAGTAAGTAGTGCTTTTTAAAAAGCCTCCAAGCAGTAACCCCTAGCAACAAGGTCATGTGTTTTCATTGTTCTTTACAGCTGAAAGCAACTTTAACTGATCCTTCAACTAGAAACAGAAAAAGTGACTTAGGAGAATTAATGGCAATTATTTGTCTCTGCAATACCTGTGTTACATTCAGGTTTGACCTGCTTAGTGGGGGAAAATGCTAAGCATTCAAAATTTTAGAATGCTGTGCAAATGAGACATTAAAAAAGTATGTCCTGCTTTTATGTACTCTGGTCAAAGTATATTTCACTTCACAAGGGCAACATAAGTGAACTAAACGGGATTCAGAATTTAAATTTAGAAAACAACAGACTTGGTTTGAATTTTAAAAAGATATTTACACAAAAGGAGGAGCAAGAACAAAAGACAGATTTTTAAAAAAAACAAAACAAAATAATAAAAGCTAGTGAGAAAGCAAAAATAGAATATTAGAATGAAAAATAATTCTCATTAATCATCAGCCATAGTATCAAGGTCTTCACAATATATATGGTTAAAAATGGCAATCTCTGTCAATAAAAATTATTATCAGAGTTTGAAATCCAACAGATTATTAGGCATTCAATAAGGCTAAAAGCAAAAAGCAATTACTAGATAATTAGAGCTGAAGCCTAAATATGAGAACCAAATTGTACTAGGATCAACAGTTTGAATTCCCAGCAGTGTGGAGAAACTGAAAAAGTGCTCAGCCCATCAAAGTCTCCCACTAATGAAAGAAGTTGCTCGGACTGAAAATCAGATTGATGGGCTGATGGTTCTCAAGGCCAAGCTGAGATGTATTGATCTTTAGGTCAGATACAGAGATTTCATGGGAACCCAAATGATTTCATTAAAATAAAATATGCTTACTCATTGTTATGTATTTTTGTGTCCTGTCGCTCTTCTCAGAACACATTACTATTCCCTAATATTCATAGAGAGTCATAATTTCATGAGGCAAAAGTAACTAAGAATGAAAAAACAGTAAGTATTTAAAAGAAACAGTGACAGATATAATCTGTGTAGACCAGTGGTGGGATTCCATTCTTTTTACTACCAGTTCTGTGGGCTTGGCTTGGTGGGCGTGGCAGGGGAAGAATACTGTAAAATCTCCAGTTACAGGTGGTATTTGTCGGTTCTCCAAGCTACTCAAACTTTCCGCTACCAGTTCTCCAGAACTGGTCAGAACCTGCTGAATACCACCTCTGGTGTGGAGTCTTTCTCTGTCTCCTTACCTAAATGCATATTGCTAAAAGGATGAACAGCCTGGTTTTTGCTAAATTTTATTTGATTTAGCCATTTACTGAAACAATTCTGATATTTGATCTAAATATGGTTTGCAGAACATTTTTTTGCATCAAAATAGAGATGCACAGATTTAAAGAAACTTCTCACCCAATGGCTGATTTCCTCATCCCAGGAAATAATCCCAAAACTCATGAGATTTTGCTAATTTTAATTTAATTTGGGAAGCTATGCTGTTTGGGGAATAGATTCTACTTTTCTGGAAGACTTTTCTTCTACTCTACACCAAGGCTGTCAAACTCCTAGCCCAAGGGCTGGATGTGTTAAGTGCTGGCCATGCCTACACCCGGATTTAGCGAAGGGGAAGAAGGTCCCAATATGTCATGTGTCACTGCCGTGATGATGTGAGTTTGACATCCCTGCTCTATAGGAATACCTATTCAAAGAGGGATTATGGGAAGAAATAAAATGTTTACCTCAATTTAAAGGAGGGAGTGGGTATTCATTAAAACAGAACATCCATTAAATATGAATGAGATTTTACACATGGGTATCTGATGAATGTGTGAAATGGAATTTTACACACGCTCAGAAGAAAATCCTCAGGTTACCATTCACAATGCAAAATGTAGTCATAAAGTATGATGTCACATGACCGGATTGTTTAACAATGGCAATCCCAGCACTTCCCACTGTTATTATTAAGCAACAATTGAAGGTTGTTAAATGAGAACTTTCTCACAGGTAAATAGATGGTGCTGGATGGAGGATGATGCACAAATGGCTGGCACAAGTACAATGGAGATGGTTGGCTGCTATCAGGAGAGGAAGAGTGCATGAGGATGTGTGGGTGGCCATCAAGGCACAATGGAAATGTGACAGACCAGGAGATGGTTGTTGCTGGGTGGTGGAGGGTATACAAATGACCACAGTGAGCCCTGTAGCTGGTGGAGGAAAAAAGTGCTGAGAGTATAAACTGCTCACCAGAGTGGCTTGCAACCTTCAAATGACCATAGGAGTACTGGGACTGTTTGATACTTCGAGTTGTAAGTATCACTCATTCAGCACTGTTGTAACTTTGAACAATCCCTGAACTTGTTAACTGAGGACTACTTGTATAAGCATAGTTTGTCTTCTGCACCTGAAGCCAAGGTCCATTAAATAGAGCTTTTATTGTAAGTTGAGTTACCTCCTTAGGTTAATTAGCCCTTAATTAGCCCAATCACTTCCTGAAACAATCTTTTCCAGCATTGTGACAAGTGCAGGAAACTTCTATTAGGTTCTCAGAGTTCCAAGAGTTCCCCAGTTCACATTCCCTAAAGTTCAAAGGTGTTATTTACTTACAACAGATTGTTTGTATTTCTCTACATAAAATTTTGTCTTTTGTCCAGATTCCAGACATAATAAATATATTTCTCTCCCATTTGGATTATTGTAATATGATTTATGTGGGTCTGCCCTTGAAGACTCCTCAGAAGTTGCCACAGGTCCACAATACAGCAGCATGGATAGTTATTGGCTTGTCTTAGAAATAGGGTACACCGCTATTTTGCAAGCTGCATTTTTTCCTAATAGGCTTCCAAGTGAAATTCAAGGTGCTAGATATCATCTGTGAAGTCCTTCGTGGGGATAGAGTTGTGTTATTTGCAAATCTTCTGTACTGCATTTCTTCTATCTCCTATAAATTCTGCTGGCCACATCAGATCTGTCAAAGCAATGGCCAATCAAACAGCCCAGATCCTTTCGGCCTTCTATAATGTATTGAAGATCTAACTGTTGTTACTTAGTTTGGGCCAGAGATGATTTTTCTCTTCTTTAGGCCGCACAGAGTCATTTTTATCTGGACACTAACATAAATTAATTAAATAAGTAAACTTATAGAAGGAGAGGATTTTCACGCCTAACATATCATTTATTCTATTTTATTAACTTACCTCTTAGATCAGAGATCATATTGCTCACGTGCATTTGCGAATGCCTAGAAGTTACAGATTTTAATGAATCAGAATTAATTTCTCCTACATAGTTAAGCTAACAATAGGAAGGGGGCATTGGAGAAAGTGATTATAATTAACTTCCTAAAAGGAGCCAAAACAGCCAGCAAAACCTAATCGCCCTATATAATTATAATGAACTTTAGTTGTATTCATTTCATACATCTATATTGTTCATGCAACTATATAAAACACCTGGTGGGTGACTATAACTGCATCTTTCAGTGTATCCATTTTTAAACATGACATAAAAATCACATTCATAAAGAAGGACACAGATACAAACCTTGGGGTCTTAACAGATGTTTCTTAGCCAACTGGGATTTTCTTTCACTGTGTTGCAACTCACCACGTGTTTCCAGCACTGTTCTTGACTTAATGTGACCATTGATTTGAAAATCAGGACAATCTGGAATAAAATAATGAACTATGGTTTAATTTTTATTTATTTTATTTTGATTCAACCGTTGAGCCAATATTAAGAGTGATACTAAAATAATAATTGATAGGGCTATAGATTAAAGTTGTCCAGCATTTTAGTTTTGAATGGAAACAATGAATATTTTTTTCCATATATGCATGGTCATATACCTGCTGGTAATTTCTTAAGCCACATATTTCCTTTCCAGGACTTCATGACAACAGTTGCATGATATTCGGAAAATGTGCTACTTTTTTAAGGAGTAATTGACTTGTGTTGCATGAGTGTTGGACAGTCCTAGAATTTGCTTTATTGCATAGGTTAGGTTACAGAATATTAGAAACTCGGTATATGCACCTTCATTTACTTGTTTGTTTTTGCCATTTCTTCAGAGACGGACTTATTTATCATTGACTACCATGCAATGTAGTCTTATTGTTGCTAAGACAACTTCTCTTTTTGAGTCTTAGTTTCATGGGGAAGATAGCAATAGCAATAGCATTTAGACACCATCCCATAGTGCTTTACAGCACTTCTGGGCAATTTACAGAGTCAGCAATATTGTCTCCAACAATCTGGGTCCTCAGAAGGATGGAAGGCTGAGTCAAAAGGATGGAAGGCTGGTTCAGGATTGAACTCTTGGCTGTGAGCAAGTTTGCCTGCAATACTGCATTCTAACCACTGCGCCACAATGGCTCTTTGGTAATGTAAGATTGTAATCATTTATTTGATAACACCCAAATGTCCATTTGCT